GTCGTCTCATGCCATCCTTCAGGAGTTTTTTTTTATGTTTTCATATTTCCATCGGTTGCACACTTTGATTTAACCAAACAAAACAAGAAAATACTTAGAAAAATAGAATATAGATTTACATGTCGTGATAATTCATTTCTATTACTTTTTAAATGCATAAAAAAACGTATGTACATAGCATATAGCACTGAATTATAAAAAAAAATGTTTTCTTCAAACTACCAAAAGGAAGATGTGATAGTCTTCATTCACCAAACATCTGTAAAATATAGGAAAAAGACACATTGTCAAGAAAACGTATTCGCCCTGATATTTGGAATATGATTTTTTCAATGAAATCGCCCTGATATTTAGAGTACAATGTTTACATGAACTCGCTCTGATTTTTCATGTCGGATATTTCCATATATATTTGTAATATTCTGAGACCCTTTATATGGAAGCCGAAACATCCGTCATCGAAACTAACTTCTGGTCTGTTTGAGCTGTTTGAGGTTCGTACTAAATCACATATTTGTTAGTACAGTAAATAGATGGTGATATAGAAACACGAACAAAACTGTGCCATTGGGACGACTCGTCCGTGTAGAATTGCAGTTACATGTAGGAGACGAAAGTAAACAAATTCAGAAAGAAAATTCAAATTGACTGAAAATACGTGTATGAAAATATAGAAATATGCGGATTTCTATATATATATATATATATAATTCTGTACAAGGTACATTCCTCTATCATCATAAATTACATTGGCGCAGAAAATAGAGGCTCGCGTTATGGAAGTTAAACCATCAGAGGCTCCTCCTGGTGTTGTAATGTTTTGCATGCAAGTTTGAACATTCTTTAAAATATTTGAAGTGCAAACGCAATATAAAAGAATCAAAGTAATGGAAACTAGAATGCATTTGTCTCGCAATGACACTGTCGAGCATTAATATCTACATTGGAAACAAGGAGATACCGACATGGTAACAAATCCTTAGTTCAAACAAAGGCAAAATATGAACAAAGAATTATTTACACGGAGACGCTTTAAAACTAATTCCGATTCAGCAATAATAAGACCAGGTGTTCTGGAAGGGTAAGTATCTTCTTCTTAATCGACAACACAAGTCATGCATATCTTGATCAATATACTACTAGTAAAACTATCAAAGTCTGTTAACTAGGACGATCCAGGAATTAATCAAACGCATATCAGCACATACTTGCAAAAAATTCTGCAACTGAATTTTTATATTTCAAATTTAGCCGTAAAAACATTATATTGTTATAGTAGTCTATTTTGCATTGGCAGAGTCATGCGCGCCAATCAGTTGATCCATGCCATTCGATTAAAAAAAGGGGCAGCCATTTTTGTTGTTGTGCAAAGGAAATCGAAAATGATGAAATGTTCTCGAAATCGGAAGGAAAATGTTTAAAATATCTATGTATGAAAACACCAGGTTAACAATGCTTAATGACATTTTTTACTCCATCATGTCTTAACCACCCACTAAATTGCAATGAAATTTCCTCATCATTTACGATTTAATTACTATACTGACAGATATAAAGCACGTGTTGTAAATTTACCAAAGTAATTGAGCAATGCCACTCTAGATGCAGGTACTCTAGAATTTTGAATTTGGTATGTTTGCTGCACCCAAGAATGTCTGACTAAACGGTTAAAGCGATATATACTTAGACATTGGTAACTGTTGATCAATAAAATGAACATCTGTATGTTTAATCCATCAAGTGTCATCGTAGACAACCACCCGGAAACATTTTATATGACGTTGGTGTGGTACTTTGTACAGAAACTACATTTTTATGACATCGGTGCGAATCTGTGTCAGTCTCGCAGGATTTTAACTTGTGTAGAGTATTTCATCATCTTTTCAGGCCGCAAAATGTTTGACGTGTAAAAATGTATATTATGGTTGACTGGCGACTTCTTCATCTCATGGTTCACACAATTAATTCATAATGGCGTGATTATTGATATTTTCAAAGGTGAATCAGTTTGAGGAGAGGAACGTCTTCGAAGCATCGTACTCAACCTCAGAGATAATGCTAAACAATATACCCCATTTGTGTAATTATTCGATATAACTTGACGGTAAAGACATAAGGATATATATAAAGATTCATGAACCACACCCACAGAAAACCAACAAGAGAATACCAATATGTCAACATGGTCATAATCCAAACTCAAATTCAATAAAACTAGGGCAAAATACGAACAAAAGAATAATGTACAAGGCGAATCTTGAAATAATAAAACGAGAATAAGACCAGGTGTTCTGCTTCATCGATGACACCCGTCCTGTAATCTTTGGTCAATCCAAGTATGTAATGTCATGTGCTCGAATGAGAACATGGTATATAACCAACAGGCAAACTAACAAACATCAAAGACGTCCAAATTGATATCGCACAAAGAAATAGAATATTTCTCAAAGAGATCATTGTGACAAGCGTAATACCGTAATTTCCATCAACCTGCATCTTTTGAAACCCTATGTTAATGGAGACAGGTCCTTAAATGTCGAATCAACTGCGACATATAAACACCATAGGTTTGGGATGCAGGGATATTGCTATCCAGAAATGGAATATTTCCGGTAGGGAAATTGAAATCATTACGTTTATCATATAGTTTGGTTGAAAGCTGCGCATGTTGGTTTCATTGAAGGAGAAGATCGAGTTAAGCAGCTGGTGTACAGGAAACTGGCGTATCCTTGATTTCCAGTTCTGATGGATTTATACGATGGACGTGGTCTATAATTATTTTGTTATTGAACTGTATCTGAACATAAAATTAAACTACTTTGAAGGGTCTTTGTAACCTGTTTAAATAAGGACTTCAATGAATTTAGCCTTATCGCGATTACTATAAGGAATCATTCGACGTACTGCAGTTTAACATTGATATCGATTAATCGGAACGTTTAAAATGTCACTCCAATTATTTTCTGGGTTTTTCTTTCAATTCAGTGGATAACAAACGGGGATAAGATTCTGTTGGTTTTCCATTGACTTTATGTACAATTTGTGTGCGACAGTATAAGACTATAAAACCGGTAGTAACTATTCTTTTACAAGTAGCTAAGCGTATGTCGTTCTGTATAACCGCCAAAGGTTAACCAGTCCGACTGTAATGTGACACCAGATACTTTTCCCACAATTTAATGTCATAATTCATAATATAATTTTCTTAGACTTTCACATCCATGACATAATGATACGTAATGTGGTGTTTATCACCACTGTTTAACTGCATCCTAAACTAACTTAATTTACGTAAATTTTATGACTTTCGAATTTTCCTGACTACATCACTTATGCATACTGTGAGTCGTTTTTTTTCGCAGAATAAGAAGTGGAAAATTTATTTTTGTCAGTGTAGACTGCAAACTCGTTCAAGGTTTCATAGAATGGTTCTGATATCACAAAACTTGGCATATTTTCACTGTTAATGTTATCATTACATCGCTGTTCTGTTGTTGTTTGTTTAGTGAACGGCAAAGATGCTTACATTATCCTTAACGACAAAAAACAGTTTGAGTCACCTTTGAAGTTGGCGACAATAATGTCCTTTTGGTTCTAGAAGTAAGAAATAAAAATTCGACCAATGCTATTTATAATACGTAAAAACTTTATGTATGTATATATATAATGAGATCGCGCAATGTTTTATTGCTTTTGTAATTTTTAAAACGAAATAGCATCTTTCCTTTAAATCAATGTCAAAATCCAATACAAGCCGTACCCACTCTGCCGTAGTGATGTATAATCACACCAGAGTCGAAGGAATATATATATAAGAAATTAACTGCTACACCATTATTCATTTGTTAACGGCCAATCAAAATGTCAGTGCCTTGAAGGCAACTCATTGTTAAATCCACCATTAGCACCATAACGAGATCATTTACTGATATACTTCATATTTAGTACAGACGTTGCTTTCCTATTCAGATAAAAATATTTAAATTAATGTTTTGCACTATTGGCCGCGGGGACCTCCAAATGGATCAGGCATTTTAATGATGTACCGTCGCCTTGCGTTTGTCAACAATTATTATTTAGAAGGGATACAATCGGTTTGATAAGTTATATACTTGTATTGCTTTTTACGTGTAAACATTTTTACATAATATCATGAGACATTGATAGAGTGATCAGGTTGTTTCTCTATCCGAGAGACAATATTGACACATGGCGTCTGAAAGAGCATGCTAGCAGTAGTCGAAAATCAGAAAACCAGCTTGACTTATCTTTAGATGGTTGTCAATTAAATCATTTCAAAATGAAAAAGGCAATAAGATGTATTGGCGTTTTATGTGATCGTTTGAAATTATTTTAAATATACCCATATGCTTAATATGGTAGGTGTTCAATACCAGATGGCAAAAAAAGTCAGTAAGAAAGTTGTCATTAAATATAATTTTTCGATTAATGGTTGTCAGCATAATACACTCCTTGCAATATTGATATGACAAACAATTACTTTGATTAAAAGTTTTTTTTTTTTTTTTTTTGTATAAATTTCTCATCTGACTCATCTGAATGATTTTCTCTGGTAAGGATTTTTTTCTCTAGTTTACACAAAACAAATGGAACACAACAACTTGTGATAATGTATATTTGTCACTGCACGCTAACGCATACAAAGCGTGGTGGGAATGCTTCTCGATATTGCAGTGTCCCTGCAGACATGGAATCTTTTATTTAATGGGCAGTTAAAGAACAAGATGATAAATCTGATGCAGAAATTGCTTTTGACGATGATACATATCTTTTATATACTTAAGTTTTATGTGAGTTTTTCTCTGACTGTGTCTATTTCAACCCTCAACATTGCGTGTTGTTAATCGCTACGTCTAGCACGTTTCGTCTTTTGCTGTTGTGACAAGCATAAAATCGTTTTCAAAAAAAGTATATCAAATATATTCTTTCAGACATTAACAATGGTTTTTACACGTTTTTTTCCTGTTCTGTCTTTTCAGATCATAAAGATGATGATTACAGTTGTGATTATTTACGCGATATGCTGGTTACCTCTTCACGCACTCAACATCGCTGGCGACGTGGACCCCAGTATATATGACATCAAGGGCATGAACTATATATGGATGACGTCACACTGGCTTGCAATGAGTAACTGTATGTATAATCCATTCATATATTGCTGGATGAATGCCAAATTTCGAAACGGATTTCTGAAAGTGTTAAACTGTTTTACCTGTGGGTTGGTAAGTGTTAATGACGAAATAGAAATGCAGCGAATGAGACGACAGGACACTTTAACTGTTACTACTTCCGTCTCTGTTAACGGTAGCTTGAGAAGGTTCAATTCGTCAAAACGGAAAGAGGCAGCGACCTATAACACAGATTACACAGCGATAGTGGAAAAGCGATGATGTCTTGAAAGGGTTATCGTGTTTTCTAATGTTATGTTTACGAAATTACCAAACTAATTAAAAATTGAAATGAAAAAGAATAAAAATAATCACTAAAATTGAAAATCTAGCAATCGTTATTGTTACGTTTTGGATCAGCACAAGTGTGGGATGAAAACAGGATATTTGTGATAAGTAGTTTATTGTTAGTGAATGGACGCATATCATCAATATTATTTAAAAAGATGAATGACATCTGTAAATGTGAAGATAAAAATCATATTTCAAAATCGTTTTGCACGTCCTTGTTAAGGTATTGCGAGTACAGGAAACATTATTTCTGTAACTGTAAAAATGTGGAACTCATTTGCACAAAGCATAACATTCATCATTTTATATATGTACTGTCCGCTATAGCTATATTTAACTGTATTATTTGGAAAATACGCAGAAACCACTCATCTTGCGTATAAATTCTTGTTAGATGGCCTATTTTGTATGGCAATATTTCTCACATGTCCGTGATGACTTCCGGCTTATTCTATTACGTAACTATGGAGATAACATATATACATGTTTGTATAATACCAAAATAGTGGGATTATGATACACGCACTGAATTATATGAATCTTACATAAAATGTTTAAAAAGTACGGTGTGTGGGAGTGTGATGATATGTGAGGGTGTATATGTAATCAGCGTGGACTACACATACATGAAGGTGTAACACATGACTGGAATTCGGTGTTAAGTATGAATTATGGTTACCAACATGTTAAAAATGGTGTCCAATTTTGTGAGGTCACATACTGAAAATCAGTGTGTATATAGATATAAACTTATATTCTTGGAAATAATATATGTGATTTTAATAAATCCTTCAAATGCATTAATTCCGTTGTTTGGATTTTTTCTTCGCATTCATATGTTTTGTCTGATGTGTTGTATATGAGGTATCATATCCAAGATTACAGCCGAAGTAGATAGCAGTGCTAAAACAGCAATCTTTCCTTTTAACGATTTATTTGTTCCCAGGGACAATAATTTACTCAAAGCTAGGCATTTCCACACAAGTCGACCTTCAAATTCAAATATACATCTAGAACATTTAGCTAAAGAAAGTTTGATTACGTAACATCATATTGTCATCCGAGTTATAGGTATTAAGTGGCATTTTGAAACTTTTCTCATTATATATATATTTATATTCATTCTGTTGTCGTTTATTTTCCAACTGTTGGCATAAAAACTTGAACGTCGTAGCTGAAAGTATCATCAATTTCGATTACGACTTGTTCGCATCACGAAATCTTGATGTTAATTTTTTTCTCTTTTTAAACTTGTTTGTTCTTGTTTTTTTTTTTTTTTTTTTCTGCTAATATAAATCTTATTTTAACCATCAATCAGATTGAGTTGGTATTTGGAATCCAATTTCGGCTACTGTTTATGCTATGCTGATGCCAGGCTACAAGTTCAAAATGTTTCTTTGCGAACATTACATCAGAATGTGTAACCTTGATTCAATCCACACATATATTTTAATGAATGCGAAATGGGATTTTTTTTTTGACAAGATGTATTCTCAACAAAAGGTTGTGCCCAATGCTCTTTGTACCAATGCGAGACTAACTTGTCTTTCTTGTCACACAGTCTCAAATGAGGCTGTTACCAAGTGAATTCAAACCATCTTCATGCCGCATTTCTCAACAATTGCAGTTTTGATTAAAAAAACAAAACGTGATCATGTTATTGAAATAAACAGGTAATCTCGCTTTCGCCTGAAAGTAATAACAGGTAATGCACACATACCAACTTCAATGGAAATGGCTGATGGATTCACGTTGAACGGTTAAATTGGTCGCGTGGATGTTACGATATTTTGAAATACGTTGGCGACACCGATCTGAATGCATTGTTTTGTTTTATTTTGTTTTGTTTTGTTTTTTGGTTTTTTTTTGTTTTTTGGTTTTTTTTTACAAAAAGATTGCCAGACTTGCTAATCAAATAAACTGAAATTCAACAGTACTAAATGTATTATTTCATATTTTTGTAGCTATAGTTCTCACATAAGGTTGCGTTATCCCCTATTCATAACTGCATACCTTTGATGCCAGTTAGCACACATGATGTTGTTTCACGTTTCCCTGAATTACAATGTCAACTTCTTTTGATATGCACAATTCTTATCTCCAGAATACCAATTAAAATATTTGATGACACTCCATAGACATTTAAAGGAAAGATTGGTAGGAACTATGGTCTCAACCAAAAGAACAATCTTCTCAAGTGATTTGGACAAGGCAGCGCTTTCACGCATTTTCAGAATTTCTGCAAATTTTTATTAGCTTGTGAAGTATAACTTGGTATTGCGTGTTGACAATGTAAATACTCATGTATAATGTAATTTGGCATTGTGTATTTTTGCATACAACGTAACTGTGTGCATGTAGTATGGATTCATTATTGGCTAAGTATACAAATATGTAATTAAACACTTCTCAAACATTTCTTATATTGTAGCAATTCTAGTAAGGAGGAACCGAATCAAGCCAAAATTCAATTTTCGTACCTGTTACCTTGCAGCGATATATATTCCAACAATTTAAAAGAAGAAATCACAATATAAATTGCATTGCAGAGGAAATGTCAAATGCATGTAAATTGCAGTTAGTGTATGCAAGTGGGCAATTACAAAAAAACTAACATACATAGTTATAATTGACTACATATAGCAACCACGTCAAATTAGGTTATCAAGTGTGCAATATGCCACTGGCCTTGTCACACCCGTCAATAAACATGAACAAATATGGAAATTTACTAAAATCCCTTTGAAAGCTTTAAATGAAAATGAATCCATCTAGAGGACATGTGCGTCATCAGCACGACTGCACCCTTACATCATTGCCTCAGGATCATCAACATTTAATGCCATCCGTAAATGGCACAATCCGAACGTCTGTTAATCTTTTTCAATTTGCTTGAACAATTTCTCCGATTGTCAAAGAAAATTTAAATGAAAGCTTTGTCTATACAAGGGTTCCTACGTATAGCTTTTAAGCTAAAATTATAGTTAATTGTGAGGTCGTTATGACAAGGTAGTTAACTGTTATGTCATAATGGCATCAGAACCTTATTGTGGGGCCATTATGATATTAACAGTCAATTGGTTTGTCATCATAATGATATTGATCGTATGATAAAAAGAAACAAAGGTTGGTAGAAACAAGCAAGCTACTGCAGACACTACTGGGGTTTTGCCACGCCCTCGTTCTAGCTAGCTAGCGAATTTTACTTTTCCAATGTGTGAAGACAGTAATCCCATTAGATCCTTTGATCTTTTTTGTTTACTCTAGTGATCGAGACCATATCCTGTTATGAGTTTGTTTAAGGAACCATTTCTCATTTTAAAAAAAGGTGCAAATTCGGAAATTATTTTTGCAAATATACTGATTTCAAAAATCCCTTAATATGTTTCCTTCCTCTCAAAACCAAGCATCCTTATAACCGACGTGCTATCCGATTTCAATAATGCTACAAGTTCAATTATCACCTCTTAGATGCCAAATCATTACGAGACGAGGAATTAAGCTCTAACATTGTACCTCACATTTGTTTCATCTGAAACGATCATGTATTGGTTACCAGCAGATTAACCAATCCACTTTGACTTTTACTGGAACACAAGAAAGACGTTTAGGAAGTATCCGATCAGTATTGTTTAACAATAAATACTCAGTCCTATGGTTGATGCTCTATACTCCCATGATGTTTTATACTTACAAGCTACTAAGCTTAGGTTTTTTCTTTTGTGACATTTTAAAAAGGAGTAATGTTTGTAACCGTCATAGCACACACACATTGTTGAAGGAAAACCGTTATAATATGTGGAATTTAATTAAAAACACGTCTAATAATAGGTATGACTAACTAATTTAGTTGTAAAACATGCAATTACATTATATAAAAATAACTACAATCTTTTAGTTAATTGATACATTTCTACGCATGTGCGTCAAAAATACAGCAGCTAGAATTAGTGTTGAACTGGTGTTTCTTCTCCCTAATTTTAAATAGTAAAGAACTAAATGGTAGAAGACATATTTTATGTTCGGTGTATATCTGACTAACAAAGATAGACAAGTAAAGGTTTTCTTAGTTAACAAACACAACATGTCTGAACGTTAAATCTTGATAAGATCCACTCTACATAGGTATTTTCATCAGATAGTATCATCTGTGACTCCACTTCTGAGCTAGTTTGCTGTCGTTTTTTGTACAGAAATTAATGGGATAGCTCTAATGTGGATCATAGTTAATATTTATCGTTTAAATGTATAAACGTCATGTGTGATATAGTAAAATTGTTATATAAATACTTCCTTATGCTGGTTCAACAAACATGAAAACACACATCGAGGAACACATGAGTGTATATTACTCCCAGACGGTAAAATATACCTTGTTTTAGATTGACGTCCTTGATTCTAAAATAATGGTTATGTTTTGCATTTACTTTTTCATTTCCTTGTCTTGTTCCCGATATACTCATGATTTCCAACGCTACCCCAAAGATGGCGGCCATTTTTCCGGTTGAGGAAGATGATGGACTAAAAGGTGTCATCGAAATGTGAAAGGGAAAATATGATAATGATTTTTTTTGTCATATATTCCGATTCACTTTTCTCTTCTTCCAGTGAGTTTGAAGGTAGGCCAAATACCAGAATGTCGATTAAGACGATATCCATTACAGTAGGCGACATCCAAGATTCAATTTCAGTTAATAATATCACAACGAGCTGCAATCATATCGCAACGTATTGTCTCTTACCTTTACTGGATAATTCTATAGAGAATAATGCATAAATCGCGATCTTCATTTGAAAGAAACGCGTTGACAACTTGGGATGAGTTTCCTGTCATGATCTTTTGCCGATGCCTTTCCCAGATGTCCATTGTTTTATTGCTCTACTTAAGTGAACAAATACCTTTACCATTCAAAGATAGACATGGCGAATTAAGGGTGTGAACAACAGGAATCAACAAAAACAACGATTTAGACGGATAATCCACTCAGAAAATCATCCTATGCCTTTCGATATGCCTCGACCTACATCATGACCAGAAACTTGATTGGAGAGTTATCTTGTCAATTTGAAATATGGTGTTGTAGTACTTTTACGTCATCTTCGAGAAGGACATAACAAAACAGTTATTGACTGGGATTTCCGGCAACAGATGATCTGTTGGACCCTCAGCAAACTGTTGCCCTCGGCCGAACATTTTGCCTTTGGGTCCAACAGATCATCTGTTGCCCTCAACCCCAGTCAATAACTGTATACTTGTATCGTAGGCGATTCACAGCCTAGTGTCACGTTTTCCCAAATTCCGTTGTCTAACCTATACTTTTCTTACTAGAATGCTTCGTAATGCATGAGCAGAAAGCAAAACACAGTTATATTTCATATTGCTCACATCTACGTTGGCGTACGATTACGGTTCCATTTCCTTTTAGTCCATATGTGAATGATCGTGAATAATTATGTTCATTATATTTTTTCCATTGTTTGTATACACCTAGGGTAGATGTTTATATACTTAATCTTTTTGTATACTTGTAACTCCTGATTACGGTACATGGGATGTAAAACACCTCGTTTTAATTTGTGATTTTTTTAAAAAGCGTATATTTTCGTTGTTGGCATTTCCAAATTTAGCAAAAAACGTCAAACATCTCAAAAAACAGATCCATACGAGCTAGTTCAGACAAACGCTTCGACGGGAAATCTGAAACAATAGTCGGTGCTAATGCGGGGATCAGACAAATTTCTAGCAAAATTACAAAATATATGAGAAAACAATTCAGTAATCAATATTCCTTGACATTACGACTATAGGAAATAGTTTACATTAACAGGCTCTCTATAAACTAGATCCAGCATTTCCTCCAACGTCAAATCCAATACACTTGAAAGTGAAAGCTTTATAGAGGTGCCCTCATTCTCCGAGACAGCATAAGGTATAAATAGTCGATAATACTTAACGCTGTATTTACTGTCGACTGCTTTACACCAGATTGGGTGTAACAGCATGATATTGTTGTCTGCTGCATGCTATTGTCAGGGTCAGTCGCCTAGATTTAGTTTTCATATGAAGATATAAGTTGTGCTTCGAATGTGGGTTTAATTGTTAAGTGAAACCAGGATGTTTTTACCATAGCCGAAAAACATAGCTGTGATGTCATCAATTTTTCTGTTTGTACTTTGATAACCTGTTCGTGTATAGGGACATTACCTGTATCTATTTTACCTATAGGTGTGGAATTTACACCTTTTTTTAAAAAGCACAATACACATGAAGTTCCTAATCATAATGTCATATTTACGACTACGTTTTAGCACCTCGTATTAATTTGCGTCGAAAATAGCAAAAAAAAAACATAAAAAATGTTAATTCCTCAGACTGTTTAGCTCTTTTGACTTTAAGTTGGTGAGGAAGGGGAGGGGGTCGCTTCTGTAGTTTCAAACTGTGTGCTCTTAGAATCATTGACGAGTACTTGATGGATGAAACAGCAGTATGTTTCAGTCTAATTCATTGTGTGTCTTTGCTCATCAAATTCAAGATTTTGTATTGAAAGTGCTATTTATACATGTGTCGTCTATAGAATCATGGAGACTGCCTTTGGTAGACACTGTTGGTGGATTTGTCATTCCCGGGGTATATCGTAACCAGTGGTAGAAAATGCTGTGGATTTCTCGTCCCTAACGTTTCCCGTAACATGTAATGACATATTTTAATAAATTTAGATACGGTTTAGAATATATATATACGTACTTGATGGTTTTCTGGTAAAATAAAATATGAGAAATGTACGATTATGGGGCTAGAACATCTCACTGTTGAAATTACGACATTACTTTCGATCGTGGACGTGTTTGATGCTCAGTAGTTCGCCTGTAAGGTCCGTTGTCGTATACCTTGTTCTCACTTAAGAACGTTGATATTACGTACTGAAGCAGAATACGCTTACTATTCCTAAACACGTGATCTTCTTTTCCTTGCAATTTTTGCAGAAGTCTGAACAGTCATTTTGTTTTTATTTTGCCCAAGTTTTATAAACTTTGGTTTATGATTATGTTGTCCTGTTAGTGTATTCTTTTTCTTGTTATTTAGGCTCTTCGCATCATTAATGAGTGGTAGAAGGCAAAAACTACTGTATGGTGTTGTCTTATTTATTACCATTGTATTGAAATGTGTTACCCACTGTCGTGTTTTTGTACAATTACAATTATCATAGTTCTTTAAACAACATAGGAGCCATACAATATGAATCCCGAAGTACATTTGCCACTTATAATGGTTACTGCTTTGTATGGCTAGTATTATTAGCACGATATGAGTGTATAGAAATCAACATTGCCTTTAGTCATGAAAGTATAATTAGGTAAATCAAGAGACAACGTTCGAAATGGTGTACTTTGCTTGTAATAAAACTAATCAAACTTAATGACATACAAATCATTCACACAGCCCAATTTTGCCTTCTTTTCTTCCTTCCTTCATCTGTAACAACATTAGTCATTTCCCCTCCCCTAAGTCCCTTCCTGTACAGAATGACTTCGGGGGAGTCCCTGCTGTTTACGATAGAATCTTACATTGATAAAATAATAAGAGTGCTTTGTTTTCTATAAGGATAAATACCTGTTTGATTACACAGATAACATCAATCAGAGTAAGCCTTCTCAGAGATCATCCTGTAAACTCTTTAGTGACAATGATCCAACCGGAAGACTACATCCTAAATAACAGCAAAGCACAAATGGAATATTGCAGCCATAACCACTGACATTAAACATTAAAACGTGTAGTAGTTCAAAACTTGTGTATGTTTATTTAATGTAAAACTATAAGAATAACTAATAGCAGTGTGAAACAGTTCATACAAATAGTTTTTCCACCAGTATTCCACAGCGAAATGATTATGATATTAGGTTTTGTTCTATTACGGGCTTGGGAAATTAATTACATTTTAACTTTGTCGACGAAATTCATTAAGATAAACCCGCCGTCTTTGTCACTCTATTTCTAGGAAACTGATCCGAACAAGTGTGCCGTTCTCATGTCAGTGGTTGTTTACTACATGTTAAGCTTGCAGTTTCAACATCGTTATCGTTGCTTAAAGTACATATCGTCCTTCCATAAAACACGTATACGTTATCATATGTGCCATGGTATATTAACTAGCTTTGTGATGTTCTTTGGTAGGATGAATATGAGTTCGTGAAAAACGTTTACTGAATCTGAAATCCGTATGATGTCTTATTATATCTTGATTACAATATTTTTAATCGCTGCAGTCACAAAAAGCTTTGTTCTGCATGGAACTCAAGTCAAAACTCCTGAATAAAGAATGAATAATAAACAGATCTGGAAAAGAAGGAAAACGTTTTGCTGTTCTAGCCTCACTATGTAGATAGTACGCAAGATATACGCGTTTATGTGAAGAAGTCCTCGTTTGTTACTCGACGTCAAGGCTTACATAAAGACATGGCAGACCAGAATGTACAATTACAGCAAGCCTAGCATTTATAATAACATCTGAATGAAGATCATTTCATTAAAGATTTATTATGCCTTGCCATGAAATAGCTGGGCATAATAGTCCTGCCTCTGGCCGGTACGCAATCATAACACGATATCTACTTTTACTCTAAGTTGGTATGTAATTACGAAATGAGAAGATACATGTTAAGAACCTATTTGTTTACGGTCAACTGATTGTGAAGGAAATTATCATTTTCTCTCTCCTTTTATGGGAGCTAGCTTTAAAATATATTGAAGAGCTTATCAAAACATGTAATAAAGACCTTGCAATGACGTTTAATTTCACTTTGAGATACATTGGTGATGTCTTTTCTTTAAATAATAAGATATTTATTGACCTAGTCCATCCTATAAACCCATCTGAATTGAAAATCAAAGACACGACAGTCTCTTCAACATCAGCTGCTTATCTTTATCTTTTCCTACAATAAAACCAACATGGACAGTTTTCCACAAAGCTTTATGATGAAAATGATGATTTCAATTTCCCTATTGGGAATTTTCCATTTCTGGAAAGCAATATCCATGCATCCCCAATTTAGGTGTTTACATGTCGCAGTTGATTCGATATTCAAGGGCTTGTTCCCATCATCACGATTTTCATGGAAGAAGTCGTCAACTGACAGACAAAAAAAATTATGAGGAAGTTTTATAGTTGCCATAGTGATCTCATTGAGAAATATTGCGATACGAAGCTGGACGTGATTGATTCTTGTCAGATTGTCTGTTGATTTTGTTGTTTTACATCATGTTCTCATTGGAGAACGTGACATTACCTTCTTTGATTAAGGTTTACATGGCGCGTGTCGTCAATAAAGCAGAAGACGCTTAATATTCTGGAACACCCCGTTTTATTCTCCTTGTATTTTTTTTCATGCGTCTTCTTATAAATGTCTCTTTTGTTTATGTTTTTCCCTAATGTTATGGAATATTAATGTAATAATTATGTTGACATGTTATTATTTTCTTGATGCCTTTTAGATATTGAACTTAAAGGCGTAAAATTTGAAAGGTTTTCGTCACGAAAAAAGATATTTGGTTTCGATCAACATGTAATTAAAATTTCAAGAACCTCTCTTTTACGTCCATTCCCTTATGCAATACAGTGCCGCTGTTATTTTTTTTTTTTTTTTACATCAAGTCAGATCGTAGGCTGATAACATCGGAAAGTTCAACAGTTTTCCTTTGCTGGCAGAGAAGGTATCCTCAATAACTGTAACAGAAAGCATTTTATTAGAAACAAGTCCTTAAATGTCAACTTCACAATGACAGTTTTGCATCTATGTCTGTGGAAAATGCTTTTACGGTGTGAAAACTGAACATAAGAGGAAGCATTAAATAAACTGGATACTTATTTGCCCTGCTGGTATGGCCTAACAATTATACCTACTGTTCCAGTGTTTGGATATCAATATGTGCTCTCTTTTCTAAAGATCTTTATCCCGCGACACCTCTTAATTTTTTACCTTTGGCTGACCAATCACCTCGGGCAGGAAGGCTTTGGGTTATGTCCCCTTGCCGAGATAAACCAGTGTCTATAAAATGGTATCTAATACTCCCTGCTTAACATTCAGCATTACGGTAGTGTAATAGCTTATTCACCCATTGTCAGTACAATGTGACCAGGCCCCACTTGTATAAAACATCTCAATTTGAGATTTCCTCAAGTCGAGATTTTCCTCGGCTGATATCTCCTCAAAAACGGCTTGTATAAAATTTTCTCAATGAACAGGAGGAAGTCCTCGGCTAGGATGTCCTGAAATTCCTTGAGGAATTTTCATACAAGGCATTTTCAAGGAGATATTAGCTGAGGAAAATCTGGGCTTGAGGAAATCTGAAATAGAGATATTTTATACAAGTGGGGCCAGATAGGATGTCATGCTGAGGGCCTTCAGCAGTCTATTTCAGTGTGATAATACTTTAAAAGTCGGCATGATCTCCACACTATAACAAGGAGGCGAACACGAACCACATCGGTAAGCGGTCGTTAAATTACCGTTTTTTGATAGGATGTTACGCAATAGAAACGAAACCTTACCAATCATGCAAAATTATCAATAGGGAAACAGATCATGAATATCCCTTAAACACTAAAGATCACAATAATCAAGACTATGTACATTAAAAAGCATATGAAGTGTTTAAACTTTTTAAAATTTAGAATGTACCGTCTGGTTTATAGAGTGTGTAACAGAAAATCTGCTTATCCAGTGTCACTTCACGCTTATTTGTTATTTGATACAAAAACCGGGCTTTTCTTTTTTTCATTTTTCTTTCTGTGTCATGAAGCCCTTGGAATTATTACGTCTTAAATAATTTTTGCAACTTGTTCTGTGATAATTACAATTTGTACATATCTTTGAAATCGATTTTTGATCTGCCATGCAGATTTCGAAAGAAATCCTTTAAATCCCTTAGATAATGAAGAACTTTTCAAGCTTTGATTTTCTGAAAACAATAATCCCACCGTAACATGATCGGTTTAGTTCCAAACGCTGACATAGATTTGGTTTGTATATTCTTGTAATGCCTGAGGAGAATTAAAGGTGCGGGCTCACAGACCAACATAGAGATATCTTGTTACGTTTTATTTTTAGAGAAGTGTAGGAGAGATATTATACAGATTTGTCTCCCTTAAACAGCCATGTTTCTCTAACCTTTTTTGTGACAACAGGAGTGGATATTTCACCTCTTGCTTAGTCGACTTGTGTTTTCTTCCACTGTGTGACGTTGTCGTGGTATAAGGCGGGGACATAGTTATGTTGTTAATAGTTTGACAATGAGTCCTTGTACTACAGTAGATTTGTTGACAGGGTCGTCCTTATACTTTCCATTGCGTTATGTCACATCAGCTTCATAGTGTTCCTGATAAATACAGCTGTGACATTGCTATGATGATCTTGACCTCTCGCAGCAGCGACATTTATATATCGTTTATCCTAAGCCATTTACCTATAGGTATTTAAGCATGTGTGATCACAAAATTTTAATTGCCTTAAAAAAAAAATTAAAAAACCCATTTAACATCACAATAATGGGCATCTTTCTGTCCTCTCTCACACTTACTGTATAGTTTGGGACTTATCTTTAACGCATGTCATGTTATGCAGTATTACGACATATATCATCGTAAAGTTTGCATGCTTTATATATATCTCAGTCTGATGACTTATGGATATAAGTCTGAAACTGTATAATATGTATGAGAGAGGATAGTAGACGCCCGGTAAGGACTGTTCTCTCCAATCAACAATTTCATCACAGAGGTATCAACAACTAATAATATAGCAAGAATAAGGTTAAATCATTGTACTCACGTGCAAATCAATCGAAACATAGAAAAGCCAGTGTTTAATTACAACATTGAAAACAATACGAAAACACAGATTCAAGCACGGAGGATTCATCTATCTAACAGAATATTATCATCCAATTATATATTGAAATATACATGCATATATAGGATTACATTTCACATCTACACGATTTTTTGTGACAGATTGCCAAACACATTGGATTTCATTCAAACAAAGGAAATTGAAATACCCAAGCGAACTTGAATATATGTATTGTGTTATTATTATCAGGCAGTTATAAGTGGATGAGGTAGAGACGCGTGAGATTGGATTAATTTATTAGTCAAAAACATTATCTTATTTCTGTAAATGGCCTTCGAGTAAATATGTCCCTTTTTACGAGAGTGATAATTTGTATTCAGCTGTTGTTTTGTTCACACTTCAGAACTGCAATTGTTTGTCATCTGTAATGATGAATGTGAAATTGTGTCTTCCATGACGTGCTGCCATTAGTCTGACTCAGCATAGCCATGCACGTGAACATTTATTCGTGACAACTGTTATAATATTATTGGTAATCAGTTCGGACTTAATGTAGCGATACATGACAGTCGTTGCATTCCCAAGGTTATGCTATACCCGTCGCAAATTTTCGTAATTGTTTACTTGTCTAAAGTTAGTAACCTTCGATACAAATTAGGCTTGCAGAGTGGAACATTGCATTAAACTGTATCATACAGTTGTATGATCCTTCGAGGAGCCGCCCATAATGCTGTAGACCTAAATTTTGAAGCCTATGAGGTACACTGGACTTCGTGAATCCATTGGAGAGAAGTAAATATATTTACACATATTCATTACAAGGAGAGTGACGGAATGAGGATATTCATTACAAGGAGAGTGACGGAATGAGGATATTCATTACAAGGAGAGTGACGGAATGAGGAATAACAAATATAACTGCCATATAAACACACAGATATAGAAATTATATGTAGATAAGATCTTATATTAGTTGTCCATGTCAAATGAGACGTTATGAAACCAGTCCTAGAAGTTTTCGAGCATTGGCGAAATGAAAAAAAAATCAAAATACTCTTTATGACGTAACTAAACGTGAAAAAATTTTCAATAAGATTAATGTGGAAATTTTGTGGGAGAAAATTGTTGATGTACCATTTTCAATTAATAACGTTAAGTCATTGTTAATATTATCACCACTGTAAAACGCTCTAGGGATAATACACTTGTGACATATACTTAATACTGTTACATGGGAAATTCACTGTGTAACCAGTGGATTTTGTATCGATCGAAGTTTTTCCCTTCTATCCAATGTTGGTCCTGACTTGTAAAGTTTATGTAGAAACCTTTTTCCATTTGTCTGACCATTGAGTGTGTATTAACGCTAACCATTTACGTGAGAAACCTAGGATTTAAGACTGGTTCTCTTCAGATATTCCATCCTGATTCCGTGTGGTCTATACCCTAAATCATGTTTTGAAGCGGTAGAAATGCTTTAGCATTGTTAAAAACTCATAACATATTGATATATTTGACGTGCTAAAGAGGAAGTGCAAATTCTCTTATGTTAAAGACTGTTTCTTCTTTACCGATGCAATATGGTTAATTACCTTTTCATCTCAAGGATCAGCAATCATAGGAAAACATAAGTGTCTGTTTCACTGCCATTGTTATCCCGATATTTGTTAGCGCCTTTTTATATCTTTCGGGTCCTTTCATCTTACGCCTCTTAAAAGTTTATATGTGCTTTGCGATTTGTAATTTCCAATTTTATAGGAATACTTTCACGTTTTGTTTATTAGAAGATGACGTCAATTTTACAATTCTGTTTTTAACCAGTTAATGATGTAATCATCGAGACTCCTAAGGCAGCCTATGTTCTTTACACTACCTTATCTATCACTATGTAATCGGTATGTCTTCAGTCTGCTAAACAATAGATAATTTTCGAAGGCCAGACTGGTACAGTTTGCATGTTCTTTTTTTTTCATTCAAAGACTCAAGGACTTTGGTCGGTTTGTGTTAAAGTAATTAAATGAGGAAGTGAACAATTGCATACGTACATTTGTTATAGCGTATGTTCATGTATATATATTATATAATTTCCTCATAAAATCGGCGTCAAAATTCTGTACTGGCTGATAAATGATCATTTCATATGTTTCATTAATGCAATTTTAGTAGAGAAAAGACAGAAATATTTCCTTCTAATTTAATCGCATGAACATTTTCCAAAAAAGATACATTTCAACATAAATTGAGGATACGATACAGTAAAGCAAAAAATAAATAATTTTATATTGTTAAATGTCCTATCATTATCCAGGTCGGAAAGCAATTATCCACGTTTTTCCCACAATGTTGGTAAATTATCTTCCTCACTCATTGCTATTCATGTGTATTGATTTCCTAAATTTATACATAAAACGGTATGTCTTTTAGCTCATGCATACCGTCTCTGACCAGGTTGTACATATGTTCCATGGGAGACAACTCCCGTTACATCAGTTAAAATATATCATTGCTCCTTATATACCCTGTTAGCTCCTATATCTATTCCATATTTCCGTGTTAATATAACCATTTTTATTATATTGACCTTATTTAATCGGTTCTGCGTTGGTATAAAATGTTGAAATGTTGATACTTCCTTGTTTGTTAAGACTTTAGGAAAATGATTCCTTTTACTACGTTCATATCCCGGTCTCTGTGTCTGAATTTTTCTCAAATGTTTTCTATGTTAATCAGGTATAATGAAAATTATTTTCTTTCTGTTATTAATGCAACCATACTCTAGTCTCTTATGGATTATTTCCGTATTTACACTCCTTCTACCAAGAATGCGTTTTTCTTCTAAATCAAGGCCCCTCGCGCGCTTACATTCAGGTCAACAAGAGTGTTTAGTAGAAGTTACAATAACTTGTTTCGCAGTTGTTGCAAAATAATAAAGTTTATAAAATCTGATCACTGAATGTGATAAATCTATCAATTATCATCATCAGACAACAGGAGATAATTCATGGCAATTCAATTCTTTTTTGTAACAAGAACGATATGTATTGCTCTCATTTTTTAATGCCAATAACTCTACTGGTGTCACAAATACAAATTCTTCCCTTGATATATATACATTTTTAATATATCTACAGTTAGAAAGATGATTTAGAAGGTTTCAGGCAATTTATGCTATTACATGAATGTTTTCGTATAACACTCATGTTGAATTCAATAATTCTAGAAATCATCAGTTGATCGAAATATGTATCCTATTTCTTTGGCATTTTATGAAAAGACAAAAAGTACGTTTATTGCATTTTTCACAGCACAAATTTGGATCAATATATACAAATTCATTCCGCTAAACCGCAGTAGAGTAACTCGCTGAGCTTTAAAAAATGGTATCATACGTCAGAAAGAAAAAGCATTTGCCAACATATATTATCAAAAAATAGATTGCATTCGATCCTAAGAATTGGCAATTTGGCAAAAGATTCCCTGAAAGACCGGCTAGACTAGAATCTGTCAAAAAATTTTTTTCATGCTCATTTCAGTTTCTGAGAAAGATATGATCAGTCTTGGAATATATATTATACTTAATTCGCATTTTCTGACATCTGAGAGAATCCTCACAGATTTTCTTGTGGATGCTCTAACAAAACACTGCCTGTTCTTTAAATAAAACAAACCTTTCTCATGAATTCTATAACACCACTACAAATGTTTTCTAGTCATTGACTTTATATTTTCGATTTCTCTTGGAATATCATCAAAGCATTGACAACGACTTTTGATATCACTTTAACACCATTTGCCCTTATCAAGACAGCGACGGCACGCATGAATTTGAGTCCTTTCAAGTCAATTTTCAGTAAGGAATTTGTCCCTCATTTCCACAATCCCGGTAAAAAATGAAAGTTTGTTGCATTCCATCTAATGCATTTCATTGTGTGACCTGCTCTAGCTTATGGTGTCTTTTTTAAAAATTCACTCTTTTTTCTGTCATATCAACATACAATATCAGGTTGGTTCTGCACTGCAGCTTTTGGATTGGTTATCTAAAAGCGTGACAATAGACGTTGTTACACGTTTAATACAGTGATGCTTCCTTACATACATGTTCTTGTTGAATTCTTTGGCGAAAGAAATATTCAATATTATTTTATAGTATCAAAGCACTGGAAGGTTGTTAATAGTATATCCTTATTATTTCCTTTCGATACTATTATCCCATCGCAAACATCGACTACTTTGCTAGAATGAAGTCTAGCTTTACCATTGCTCATATCAGTGTGCTTTTTGCCTTTCCTGTAATATATTGCACTTTATTACAATTTTTCACATGAAATTGGGGGAGTTTTCAAGTCAGTCAATTTTATGTTACCACTGCAGTGGTAAACGTATTCCAACACACTCGTGAAATGCATATTATATGTGAAACCATTAAACATCCTCCAAGTATTTGCTAATATAGGACATGCCATTATGAAATATACACGCATTGGAAGACAAACGTATAGCTACAGTACAAGTACAGTTTTGATTTTTTTCATTTTTTAATTTTTATTAATTTTTTTAGTTCACATATTTACATCATTGGCGATAGTGTGTTACAGAGACTTTATGTTAAACGTTACATTTCTACACAACATATGGACAGAAGCCAACAGGTGTGGAGGAACTGAAAATGAGGGGTACGGAAAGCAAAGAAATGGCAGAAGTGATAGACAAAGTAAGGAAATAAACGACAATTTTTATTGTTCCAACACTACCCTACCACTTTGGCATTGTTCTATATGTATCCTGATATGTCCATATGTTTATCCCAAGAAACCGTCTCTATGTGACGCCCTTACAAAAGCTTATTTGAAATATTAAAATTAATTAGATTATATAAATATAAAATCACACCAAAAGGAGATTTCTTAAAATTGTTTTGAAATGCTAGTGTATCCAAAGGCATACTCTGGCAAATATCTGGTACAAATAAACACATATCTTTATACACTGAAACTGTCTAATTATGTCGTAATAAATATGAAAAAGGAAACGGTCTCAACAACTGTAAACAACAAAAATATTATGAAATATACTCTATCCTTCATCTTTGCTACCGCACACCACGTCAATTTATGTGTACCGTATGACTTTACACCTTCATGCACTGGCTCTTCAGTTTTATCTGGCGACTCCGAAATGTCGTGTATAAGACTGTTTTCTCCAGCTGCATCCTTATCTATTTGGTCATTCCTACTACTTTGTGTAAAGACGTGCTGCGTTTCATCTCCAATTCTTTTACTTCTGCAGATTTGTTGGAGGAAGTCCACAGATTTACTGATATATCGCGGAATTGGTTGGTTGCGATCACCTTTACTGTATGTTCTAGTTTGAAACATGTTCACAATTACAATGACAGCACTGACAGAAATCATGGACAATATGTAGTAGGATAAATGAGACACGGGGTGTGAAGAGGAAGGCATCCGGTCACTAACCACCGTCATATTCACCGTGAAAGCCAGTAACACTGTGATGCTATACGATGTCCGTTCTCCTGAGTTGAAGGGTAAAATAAAAACGAATGGGTTCACAAGGGCGAGCATGACGATCGGTATCACAACAGTCACCAGGAAATTCAAATAACGCCTCTTGATTGTTATAGAGTATTTCGCAATGTCAAAAGTATCAGACCAAAGTGTGGTATTGGAATCTATTACATCCCATTCATTGTTCACATTATATAATTTAAGATTTACCGTCGGTGAAGGTATTGTCAACGTCACCTGTTTGGTTAAGAATCCCCACGCACTCACGTCTAGTGTACACGTGTGCTGGTCGAAAGGAAATTTGGAAACATCGGGTGTACATATCGCCTTCAACATTCCTCCTGAATTCCACTGAACATCTCCGGTATGTGTAACTGTTACTTTGAAATGTTTATTACTGATTGGTTCATTCGACTCGGCTGGATTTAAAAGAAACATTTGCGGAAGCCATATTTTTCCCTGAGTAAATGTCAGTGATGTTGTATTCCCATATACAGAGGTATCCCACACCAAACTTTCGTCATTCCAAGAAATATTCAAGATGGCGATTATCTTTATCGTTCCTGCCACTTCGTCGAAGTCGTTTATGGAGATAAGAGAAATGTCCATATATACATTAACAGGTTTGGTTTGGTCTTTAATAGGAAGTACATCATCAGAGTAATTTGAGAACAAGTCTTGTAACAGTAACTTTGTATTTTCTATTGTAGAAGAACTTGCAATTTCAACACTGCATAATGATATCATCAAGAGTAAAATATTATCCATTTTCAACACCGGCGAAGAAATATACACTTACCAACATAACCACGGACAAGAGCTTACGAAACGATGATGTGTATGACAACAATCGTTACTGAACACCAATCATTATGATTCTAATATCATACTTGTTTACCATAATATTGTTACCAGACAAGTGCATTAGTATTTGTATGAACAGGTAAGCACGACTGCACACTACAAAGACCGCTCTTACGGCAGTGATATTGATAATTGATTTGTCATTTTGTAAATATCAGGATGCTTTGTTGTCCAAGCTGTTTGCATGACTATTGCAAACAAAACTCTAATTGCATTAATTGCGTTGATGAAAAATAAATGTTGGTATTTACCGAATCTGTCAGGAAATGTGTGGGTAGTTTTGCGTCGTTAATTCCGAAACAAATTACCAATGGGTCCCATGAAACTACAGATGAAAAATGGATCATTAACTGAAAACGTCCTGTCATAAATGACTCCAGAAATACGTGTATTATAAAAAAAGAATGGTTAACTAGTTTTGTTATCGATATATCTAAAACAATGGATATGTTCAAAATTACTTTAGAGATTCAAATTCAGCTATGTATACGAATCTTGTTTAAAATCAAATGGTTAAAACACATTGATATGTTTTAAATTACATGTACTTTAGAGGTTCAAATTAAGCAATATTGAATAAAGGAATGGTTAAAACACTTTGATATGTTTTAAATTACCTTAGAGGTTCAAATTAAGCCATATATACCACTCTGGTTAATAAAGGAATGGTTAAAACACATTGATATGCTTTAAATTACCTTAGAGGTTCAAATTAAGCCATATATACCACTCTGGTTAATAAAGGAATGGTTAAAACACATTGATATGCTTTAAATTACCTTAGAGGTTCAAATTAAGCCATGTATACCACTCTGGTTAACAAAGGAATGGTTAAAACACATTGATATGTTTTAAATTACCTTAGAGGTTCACATTAAGCCATATATATCACTCTGGTTAATAAAGAAATGGTTAAAACACATTGATATGTTTTAAATTACATGTACTTTAGAGGTTCAAATTAAGCAATATTGAATAAAGGAATGGTTAAAACACTTTGATATGTTTTAAATTACCTTAGAGGTTCAAATTAAGCCATATATACCACTCTGGTTAATAAAGGAATGGTTAAAACACATTGATATGCTTTAAATTACCTTAGAGGTTCAAATTAAGCCATATATACCACTCTGGTTAATAAAGAAATGGTTAAAACACATTTATATGTTTAAAATTACCTTAGAGGTTCAAATTAAGCCATATATACCACTCTGGTTAAAAAAAGGAATGGTTAAAACACATTGATATGTTTTAAATTACATGTACTTTAGAGGTTCAAATTAAGCAATATTGAATAAAGGAATGGTTAAAACACTTTGCAATGAACCTTTTTAAAATAAATAGTGTAAACCATGTTTATTAAACAAAAGATACCAAGATTTCGCCTCAAAATGCGATATCAACGTTTCCGACCCACAGCTGTTTACTGACAATATTTAACTGTTTCCCATTAAATACCTTATATACATATTTCACGAGAATTACAGAATGTTTTATCTTTCGAAATAATAAATAAACCAACGACCAGAATGAAATAGCCGTATTATCCTACATAGGGCTTTTCAGGTTTAGATAAATTCTTTCAAAATAGTGATACATGATGTGAACGCGTCAATTTTGTTTTTATCTTTAAATGAACACAATTTAAAAAAAAAAAAAAAAAAAGTACGGGAAACATAGCATTCTTTCTTACATCGAATACTTTGCTAACTCTAGACACCAAAACGGCGTCTTTTCGACTTTACATGCTTTGCATGGTACCCTATCGTATTATGCTATTATCTGGTAAGAATCGCTTACAAAAATGTTTTAAAGACCAAATTATCGAGCATCCAAACTGTATGGAATTCGTCCCTTGTCTTTTGCTGTGGTGTATTCAAGACCCCTAACTTCATCTGTTATCTCCTTTTCTTTAATGTATTGTAACTAAACCGATTGCCGATGCTAAAATGCAAAACATTAAGAGCTGTAATATGTATGCTGGCAATTGAGAATTAAGTCACAGTGTAGTTCTACAGAGCTGTCGTTTCGGTAGGAGAGCATTGCAGACTTCCAATTAGCTTTCAATGAATGTTTACGAGCATAGTGATTTTATACTACCGTATGATTATGAGAATAATCTCATGTAAGATTTTGTTGTGTCAAAGATTATGGATGTGGAAGACTTGTTTGGGATGAAAGTCTTCATAAAAGCAATAAAACATATCCAGGATTTTGGCTTTATCTAAAACATGCTTCATATCACATATAAAAGCGGGGAACGTTCATTCAAACTTTACCATACACACTAACAATTATCAGTGTGAAATGTATGTCGACGTGTTTTCGGCGTGTACACCGCAGGAGTCAGGTTTACAATTGGGAGCTACCGATCTCATCAACACGTTAACGTGAAAATTAACAACACAGTACAAAGACAATGTAAGAAGACTTTGCAAACAAGGGTTTTGTTCATCTTATAAATAGTATTTACAAAAGTTAACTCTGATTTTCGAACAAATTTAAACGATTTGGTTAATAGAACCTTGATCTCAAACCACAATAGGTTGGTGTTTGTGAGAAGAATTCTAAATATTTGTTTTGATTTTACTTCTTGATCTACATACCCAGACATGGGATTTATGATTGTTTAAAAAATTCTAATATAAATAAATAAGTATATATATATATATAAATAAAATTCATCAACACTGATACACATTTGGACTTTCTTCGTATCCATCCTTTTCTACATACATAAAGTTATTGTTAATATGTCAACATCGAGAAACTCCTAGGATGGTTTCGTAGATAAATTTTACATAGGTGGTAAGCACTTGTCATTTGGTTTCATTTTTTCCACTTTGATCCTACATTTGCTGTTTTATTCCACGTTCTGTAAATTATTTTGTATCGTATCGATAAAGATTGCTATACAGCTTATAAACTATAGACTTATAAAACAAGTATTCCGTTGTTGTAAGTAGTAATTCAACGCTTGGAGTTACTCACTGGCTTCATTGGCTTAGTTAGAGTGAACCAATGACTGAAGACAAAAATCAATTGATGTCACTTGGAAAAGGACTTTACAGAGAAAAGTTGACACTCAAAACTTAAAAAATCAATACAGTTCCAAGTTTCTATTTATTTATTTATTTATTTATTTATTTATTTATTTATTTACTTATTTCACTAACCACTTGTTAACTATGGGATAACTGTGGCCTGATGTTTTTGTAGTAATATAATTGATTACAGACGTATCGAAACAATGTAATCAATACGTGATTAAGAAACATTATTCTGGACATATCATATACAAAGTTAAGAAACACTTTGAGTTTTTTTACAAAACGTAAATAACCTACCATTAACTAACCGATCATTTATATGGAATTTTACATAACGAACAATGGAACTTTAGGTACCTTTTTAAAACAAATACAATTTTACCATTTCTTATGATATTTCCTGTTAAAGAAGAAGTACCAGAATCTACTTCCAAGCGTCCGGAGTTATTTCTATAGAGAGCGCGGAATCTTTTATTGATATATTTATTTTTCTTTAATTAATTTATTTTTGTTCGTTGTACCTCATTAGATAAAATGATTCACTTGCCAACCAAGTGTAACTAAATGTTCTACACGTGAAATGTACATGGGTTCAACGAGGGATGACTACTATTCTAAACGGAATACTTGCATATGTATCAGTAACGATAATGTTTTTATCATATAGATTAACAATTTGATAAGCAGAAAAAGCATTCATTGATGCGCCATTTTATACGTAAATTCATATCAACATATACCTACGTTTTCATAAAAAGGTATTCATAAACTTGAGTATGGCAAAAACATAACAGTTTATTGTCATGTTTTATCATGAAATTTTATTACAAAGGCAGTTTCTTAGAACCCGGGCTCAAATATGTAATTAAATAATTGATTATTATGATATCAGATTGAACGTGTACTCACATATTCTTGTATTTATCGGTATACATGTGTCTATCGTTGGCGTCATTGAACCTCACAGAAGGAATTTTATATGTTAATACCAAAGTTCCACATCTGTATAAACAGGTTTCAATATAATGAAGATTCTAGATATGACAAATCCTGTGTTATTTACTGTGCTGTCATCTATTGCACTTCCTATATCGTAATTGTGTTACATGATAAAGTGATGTTATATTTTTGCCCATTAGCCTGTTTTGAAGTTTGACATCGTTTAAAGTTGACGTATCTATTTGAAAATGAATTATAGATTTTGACTGTGTAGTAACAAGAATATTATCACATAAAGTGAGACATCAGTTCATAACTATGTAATCAAATTGTAGTTAGCCAACAGTTAATCACTCGTTATTTACTTGTTTCAAATTAAACTTTATTTTACAACAAGTCCGGTGTTTTTTAACTGATATGAATCGCTCTTGTTAGCATGAATGGAAGTGCGTGAGGGGTCTTACTATGGGAGGAAACCGGAATACCAGGGGAAAACCCACGTGGTCATACAAATGATCCAATACATTTTCACGTTCGTTCTGGGAAATGCTTGATTGAAACATATACATTGTACATATTATGTCATGGCTGTTTTTACCATAAACAGTCAATATTTTCAATTAAACTGAATGCCAGTATGACAATCTGAAAGTTTCATCACCAACGTGTAATTATGTGTTACAGTCATTTTTAAGGTTGTAAGGTTTGTTCAAAATCCTGTAACGAATGAAACCGCTAGAGAACTGATAACGGTTTTCTAAACATGGTAACAGTAACCTTGATCTCATCTTGATGTCATCTAAATGTGTGTTTTTAATTACAATTCCTCTAACTGTGAAACCGCCAAAACGCTAACAATGCCTAAAATAGTAACCTTGACCTTGACCCAATAAACTGAAACATTTTGTTTCAGAG